AAGATCTTGATTGGCAATCAATTGTTTTTTTATTTTTTGGGCAATCAAATTGAACATTTAAAAGATCTTTATTCATATATGACCGTACCCTCCATGCACGCACGTACATGGAGTCAGGGTAATTAAGACACCATAACATTAAAGATATTTTTGTCTAGTTTAACAACATATTAGTAGTTTAACAATTGTAAGCGCAAGTGCAAATTTTGTTGTTATCTCCGGTACAAATGCCATTCCCATTGTACTTTTTAAGACAAACCGGTATGCATTCTTTAAAACTGCATGGCTTGTGAAGGTTCACGTTCACAACACATCTTTTAATATACGCTCCCTCTGCACTTGGCAAAGCCAAAAAAGCTACAAACAAAAAGAAATTAAAAAGAAAAAAGATTAGAAATGAATTTCAGGATAGAAATAAACGAACGAGCATATATATTTGAAAATGATTAGTTTTTTTTTGCTAAACGTTTTTCAAATTAATTGAAAATGATTAGTTCAAAAGTATCTTTATGATGGCGCAATATTTAGCTGCCAAATGATCATCTCATAACCATTTATCTAATTCATCAAGTCACACTCTGCTTGAAGAGACAGAAAATGCATCGATTAAAAAAAAAAATTAAAATTTTCCAAAAAAGAAATACGAATATTTACCTGAGAATACAAACATGGAGATGAACAGATACGAACACAATAGTTTTGCCATGACTTGTGAAACAATAGAGAATTTTGTTAATACAATGATTGTGCTTGGAGATATTTTTTATATTGAAAATTGGATAGATAAAGAGCGTTTATATGTACCATTATTGGTGAGAGAAACTATAGAGAAACTCTCTCTAGGAAACATATTTTCAAACTATAATGTGGAGAGAATCAAAATAGTTGATTTACATTATAGATATAGTAAAAAAGAATGATGCATCTTCCCAGAATCTAGTCAAATATATTTCATTCGTTTATGTTAGATATATTTACTTTATGTGGATATCAAATGGTCTGACTAGCAAAGAGAAGAACGTAACTGAGAAGAAAATTAATTCTTCTCAAATACTTTGGATCCACTGCAAAAACTGTTTTTTCTTATTATTCATATGGTTTTTTATTTTCCTAACATAAAATTTTGGGTGATTTTAGTGTATAACCAAAAACAAAAAATTAAAAAATAAGTAAAATTGGGTTATATGGCAAAATCATGACCATTAGATTTGGAGATTTTGATTTTTTAAATTACAATTTTTTGTTATGTATACAGCAAATTATCCATATAAGTTTCCACTCAAAACTAATCAAAAAATTTTATTCTTAAAGTGTTTTATTTCTTCCATTAATTTTGAGTTAAAAGTGTTCTATTGGGAAAATAAAAAACCATGAGTAAACAAATAGATAATCACTTTTTGCAGTTAGTCCGGACTCCGGAGCATTTGAAAAAAAAAAAAAAATTCTCAATTTTTCTCATTGCTTTACCAGTAAAACATTATCTCTTTTACAAAGGAAGAATATATCTTCTAGTGGGTTCATAACATATATAATATATATTCTATTTGTATTACTAGTCAGACCCAAAAAAAATACCA